CGTCCGGACCCCGCCAGCCTGACCGTGGGTCCGTGCCCACCCTGCTGGCCCCGCAAGGACTCCCTGTGATTGGGGTGGCCCAGCGTGCTGATGCGCACAGGGCGTTACCCAGAGTGGGAACCGACTCCGGGGCACCAGCTTGTGGGAAAAGAAAGAGCTCGTACTGGGGTTCGCCCTCAGAGACAGGGGCAGGGCTCCAACCCTCTCCCCAGCCGGGGTCCGGGCAGGATTTTAGGGGTCTCAGCGCTGGATCATCCTGGACAGGACCGTCCACTCTGAAAGGGTTCTGGCGTGAGGTTCCCATCCTGTCCCCTCCTTTGGTTCCATGGGGACAGCAGCCAAGGCTTCACAAGGGTCCCTCCTAAGTTGTGTTCCCAAGTGTTACTGGTAGGGGGTCAACGTTGGTTCCGGGTCTCGTTGGAAGCAGGATCGGACCAGTCAGAGCTGGCGCTGCAGTGACATGGGCAGGTCCACAAGCCGCCCCTGCCTCCCAGGCCCACGTAGGAGGTGCCTCCAGCCTGGCAGAGGTCGGGTTTCGGCCTGCGCACCACTGGACACAGAGGAGCTCTGCTGACATCGCCCCGACCCAGCCAACAGGGCCGTGGCCGTGGCCGAGGGGGGCAGGCGGGCTCTCCCTTACCCGGCTGTGCCCGCACAGGGATCCCACCAGGATGCTTCCAGCCTGGCTGTGTGACCAGGGTGGTCGGCCCCCCGTGGCCCCTTCTCTCAGGCAAGCTCCCTCTCCTGGGGCTCCCAGTAAGTCACCACGAGGCCGAAGGCCACAGCAGTGGACGTGGCCTGGATCCTGCCCGGATGCCAGAGGAGCTAGACAGTGGGGGCGGCTGGCGGTGCACTGGCTGACGCCTGCGCAGGCCGCCGGTGAAAACGGGAGGCTCAGCGACCTCTGCTCGGTTCCCCCACAAGCACTGCCTGGGCTCAGACACTGACGCTGGGACCAAACGGCTGGGAGAAGCGAGCCCTGCAAGTGGGGGGCACACGGGAGGGGAGCCCCAAGAAGGTCTGAGCTTGCTGTTCGCGGCCCAGAGGAAGGACAGTGTGAGTGGACAATGGAGGCAAGGAGCAGAGGGTCGTCGAGGTGGGTGCGGCAGGAACCGGCCTTTGTCAATAATAATTTTAATTGTCATGTGTAACAGCCGTGGCCAGTAAGTACCCAGCTCCCCACGAGTGCCCTCAGGCTGTGTTGGTTGGCAGGGGAGAGGATGGTGAGGAATAAGATACATCAGACACTTTGCTCAGGGCCTGGAACACCAACATTTGCTGTATTATTATTATTATTATTATTATTATTATTATTAATTCTCCAGCAAGACTGTGAGCTCACAGATGAAGACACAGGCACAGAGCAGGGCTGGGGGGCTGTCAACGTAAGAATTGTTCAAACCTGTGAAGAATTTAGTGAGTTTAGCCCGGCCGGTGTGGCTCAGTGGTTGAGCGGCAACCCATGCACCAGGAGGTTGCCAGTTCGATTCCCAGTCAGGGCACATGCCCAGGTTGTGGGTCCAATCCCCAGTAGGGGGCATGCAGGAGGCGGCCAATCGATGTTCTCTCTCATCCATGTTTCTCTCTCTCTCTCCCTCTCCCTTCCTCTCTCTAATATCAATAAAAAAAATAAAATAAAATAAAACAATTAAAAAAGAATTTAGTGCCCTGGCTGGTTTGGCTCAGTAGTTAGAGCGTCGGCCTGCGGTCCAGAGAGACCCGGGTTCGGTTCCCGCTAAGGTCACGTACCTCCGTTGCAGTTTGTCCCCGGCCCTGGTTGGTCCTGCGGGTGGCAGCAGCCACTCAATGTGTCCCTTTCACGTTGATGTTTCTCTCTCTTCCTCTCTCTCCCTCCCACTCTATGTAAACAAAAAATGGAAAAATGTCCTTGGGTGAGGATTAAAAAAAAAAAAGAATTTGGTGAGTTTATTTGAGCCAAACTGTAGACAAATGCAGACAAATGTCGTGAAGCAAACCTGAAGGGATTGAGCAATGCCCAGGAGAACGGCAGGTTGCACCTTCATCTGTATATGACAATCAGAAGAGGCTTAAACGGGTCCACGAAATCCACAGGTGATGACAGATCAGGGAGGCGGGAGAAAGCAGAGCAGGGGAACCTTTGGGATTGGATGGAAAGTAAAATGACAGACACACATATCTTTTGCCAACATGGGTACAGGATAATTAGCAGCCAGCAATTAACATGATAATAGCAATGACAGGATGTGTGGTCTCCGCCCTGGTGCACAGGTGGTGCCCTGAGGGGTCTGGAAAAAGGCAGTCACCCTACATTCCAAAGGTCTGTTACCTCAGATGCAGAAAGAGCAGGGAGTCCATAAGGTGAAAACTGACCTTTGTCAGGGAAGATGCCAGCCCAGGACCTGACTACCTGGCATAACCTGCTTCCAGTTGAAAAGTTCACATTTCAGACCATCCCGTGTGGTTACTTTAGGCTCCACGCAGGCCTCCCTGAGCTTGTCAGGTGAGCATGCGGCCCCTTTTCCTCCACAGTACAGACCCAGACCCAGGTGGCCTCTTGGTTATCAGTGACCAATGGAGACCTGAGTGTGGGCAGCAAGCCTCCACTGCCACGTTTGGTCACTTAATGGGCACCAGGCCCAGCGAAGATGGGGCTGGTGACCTCCACTTTGCACCCTCGTGGCCTGAAGCTGGGCTTAGTGACCCGCCTGGTGTCCGCAGGGTCATTCTCCTGCTGGCTCTGCAAGATCGTGGACATCACCCAGCGTGCTGGGCACTGGGTTGGAGACCTGTGCGCATCCCCCGCCTGGGCTGCGAGGCGGTCAGCGGGGCGGGGCGGGGCGGGGCGGCCCGGCCGGAGTCGGTGCTGCCCGCCCCACCCCCGCGCTGGCAGGAGGCGCCGCCCCGGGCACAGGTCCCCTGGAGGGCGCCTCCCTTGTGGACCCCGCGGCGCGGGCAGAGGTGGGACCTGGACCCGGAAACGAGACAAACAGCGCGGGCTGGAGCCACGTGGGCGCGGGGGGGCGCCGCAGGTGTGAGCGGGCGCGGGTCCGCGGGGCGTCGATTCTGGTCCACCAGGTCCACGATTCAGGGGGGCAGGGCCCCGTGTGTACGGGGTGCGGGTCACATGGCGGCGAGGGTGCCCACGCGTCGGGGTCTCTGGGGTGCGGTGCCAGGGGGCGGCGGGGCGCCCGCGGGGTGTCTGGGTCACCGCGGCCCCGCAGGAGCGAGCGGGGGAGTGTCCCCTGCCTCCCGCTGCTGCGTCTGGCTGCCGGGCCCGCCTCTTCCCGAGGCTCCGGTTTCGGTTTCCCTGCGGTACCGGCCCCGCCCCGCCCGCGGGCTGCGCGCCTTCCGGCCACCGGCCACCCTCCCGCTGCCCAGAGCAGACCGGACAGCCAGACGTGCCCCCGGACGGACCGGACAGAGGGAAAGAGTTGTTTCCGAAACGCACCGCGTCTTCATTTCATAGTAACTCACCCAAGAACGGCGTCGCTGCCCACACCACCCAGCGCCCAGAGGGCGGGCTCCTCCGGCTGCGCAGGGTCGCCCCTGGCCAGGGCTCGCGGCCGGGCTGGCACCTGTTTGGTGATGGCCTGGAGAGCCATCAGCGGGCGCAGAATGAGGGGGTGCCAAGACAGTCGGGGCTGGACGGTCCAGCCCTGACCACCTCCAGTCCCCACCCGCTCCAGCCCTGGTTTTCCTGGGTGGTGGTAGGGGAGTGGGCGTTGAGTTTGGCACAGGTCAGTGGTTGGAAATAAAGGGAAAGGAAGAGTCTGGAAGCTGAAGAGAGAAGTGTGTTTCTGGCCTTCGGCCCCCAGCCCACCCGTGGGCCCCTGGTCCGGGTGGCACGCAGGACGCCTCCCAGGACAGCTGGCCCAGCTGTGAGTCCCTGGTCTGCGGAGATAAGGGCTTTGGAAGAAGGATAAACTAGGGAAGGAGAGGCCTGGGCTGTGGGGAGTCACTGACACTGCATGAGAGGGTCCCCACACCGTGGAGGTGTTTGCTCCCGGAGGCTGGGGTCCAGAGGGTGAGGTCGAGGCCAGCGCCGGGCTGTGGCCGGTGAAGCCAGGACACCTCACACACCAGTGTCTTCTGTCTGGCCCTGAGCGGCCCCCAGGATCACCATCTGGTGGCGGCGGAGACAAGCCAACAGTAGCAGACCGGCAGCCATGCCACAGACCAGAGAGAGGGGAGGTGCTGGCAGGAGCAGGAGGACCTAGCCCGAGGGCCCTCTGGGTGCCCACCCAGCTGGCACAGGAGGGGGTGTGGCCACTGCTTTGGCCCTCTTGGATGTGAAGCCAGTAGATAAGGGTGGCTGGCGAGTGGATCTCTGTGCTCCAAGAGCTGAGACACCTTTTTCCACTCTCACCCTGGATGTGCTAAGTGGCCTCTGGAGGCCGGAGCATCTTGGCTGGAGTGTTGGCCTTGGAATAGACCAGCATGACCCTGACCTTGGTTTGATGCTGCCCCCACAGCAGGAGTTCTGAGGGCCAGAGAGTCAGTGACAGATAGACAGCTTCATGGATGGCAACCCCTGCCGGTTCCTAGGACCCCGGACTGGGCCCCTGAGCCCTGCGCTGCCCTGTGCACACAGTCCCTGCAGCGGCTGTCTGCCGGGCGCTGGACCACCCCCCCGCGCGCCTCTCCGAACCCTCCTCGCGGTGGGCCGAGGGCTCGTCTCTGCGATCCCCTCGCCCAGGGCAGCAGTGGGCACCCTCACCCACGTGCTGGGTCTCTGCTGGGAAGCTCCCTCCTCCCACCCAGTCCTCGGTCACCCTGGCCCGGCTCAGCCTGGTGGGACAGTTTCGGATTCGCGGAGAGATGCAGTGCTCAGGAGAGCCTGGGGGCTGGGGGGTGGGGCGCGGCAGGGGCGGGCAGCAGGAAGGGAAGTGGGGGCTGAGGCTGCAGGTGGGGGGAGGGTGACAGCCAGGATGTGCAGGGGACTCGGTATGAGGCCCCACTGGGAGCTGCAGGGGAGGGGCTCAGGCTGGGTTTCGATTGAGCCGGGACCTTCTGAGCCACTGTATTTTCACTTTCCAGAAAATGAAACTGAAGCAGGAATGTGGTCACATGACGAGCGGCTCTGAGTAAAGGCGCTGCTCCCTCAGCGCTTGTTCCCATTTGCAGAGCCCGGAGCATGGAGTGTCCCGGGTGCCGGCATGTCTCCAGAGAGGACGCCCCCAAGTTCTGCAGTGAGTGTGGGCTGAGGCTGCCCACCGCGGCCCCCGCCCCAGGTGAGGCCCGAGGGTGTGCTGGTGGGGCTGGGGGCTGAGAGGGGCAGTGGGTGAGCGGGCAGCTCGGTCCCGCCTCCTTCCCTGGAAATGGGCACCAAGGCCAGTGGGCAGCCCAGGCTGCAGAGTGAGGTCTCCTGAGGCAAACGGACTCTTTCTAGAAGCACCTACCTCAGAACAGTTCCGTGGGTCCTTTGCTGGAGGAGCCTGACACTTTTTAAGAAATGTCCATTTTATTTCTTGGAGAGAATTCGAGGTTCCCCTTCCCCCTGGGGAATGGGAAGTGTGAGCTGAGCTCAGCTGATGTGGGGTTTTGGAGGATGCGGCATGAAAGTGGGACCCCAGGCACGGGGTGGGTGAGGGGTGCCCTGGCGAGGATGAGCCGTCACCCCTGAGCTTGTGCTGAGCACGCCAGGTGGGCCACACCTGTCCGGTGGGTCTGCCCTGCGGACTCCCAGACCTCTTGGATCGGCCCGGGCAGGATACTTCCTCCTCCCTCCGCGGGGCCATCGGTCCTTCTTCAGCTCTGGTGACCTCACTGCTCAGGCACTGGCGGCACCAGGTTAACCCTTTGTCCTGGACTTGTCATCAAACTGCCACCTGCGGCCTCCCCACCTGAGTATCTGACAAGCCTCCAGGGTTCCCGTGTCTGCCCCCAAACCACACCTCAGGCTTCCCACCTACCTTGACCTCCCCCCTTCCCCTCCTCACACCCACGTCCGTTCCCAGGAGGTCGCACTGGCTGCATGGGGACAGCCCACCCAGGGAGGTGTCCCCCCCCCGCTGCCAGCCACTGAGAGTAAAAGTCCCGAATGCCCCTCCAGTGCCCTCTGACCTGCTCTCCTGCAGCCCCTCCCCCAGCCTGGACCACAGCATTCAGGGCAGCGGGGCCGCCCCACCCGCTCCCGGCTTTCCTGAGCTGTCTCCCCCCCATGGCCCCCTGAGCCCCCTGGAAACTGCAGCGTGCCCCCAGTCGCACCTCATCTGCCGTCTGTCTGTGGCTTCCGGGCAGACCTTTGCTTTCCTGTTCGCTGCTTACCCCGGGCCCTCGCAGTGCTTGGTGCTCAGCAGGTATTGATAAGTAACTGCAGCCGGTTCGAACCAGGGCTGCGGGACCCCGAGTGTGCTGCTGTGTGTGCGCGCGGACCGCGTGGACCGAGTGAGGAGATGCCAGCAGTCCATGCTCCCTGCTCATGGCTCCGGGAAGTCCCCGAGGATGTGCCCGTGTGGTGGCTGAGGTGCCCGTGGCCGAGGTGCCCGTGGCCGAGATGCCCGTGGCTGAGGGTGCCCGTGGCCGAGGTGCCCGTGGCTGAGGGTGCCCATGGCCGAGGGTGCCCGTGGCTGAGGGTGCCCGTGGCCGAGGGTGCCCGTGGCTGAGGGTGCCCGTGGCCGAGGTGCCTGTGGCTGAGGGTGCCCGTGGCCGAGGTGCCCGTGGCTGAGGGTGCCAGCCTCCTGTCGCTCCCGTTTCTGGTGCGCTTGTGCCAAGTGCTCAGGTTGCAGATGCCGGGCGTGCACTCAGGAGGCACGGAGGGGCAGGTGCCTTGTTTGTGGACTTTATTTTATTGATTTTCTTTTTTTTGCTACTCACCCTTTGGGAGCTCTGGCTGACAGTCAAACCTGAGGCTCCTGAGGGGTCAGAAGCATGTGTGGTCAGCCAAGTGTCCGCTCCCACCATGATTCTTTCCGCCCATCATCACATGGCCCAGCTCCTGGTGTCCAGGTGGAACTGCCGCCTGCCAGGACTCCCCCTGGTCACTGCAACAGCTGCCTGGTGGGGGCCTTGGCAGGGAAGGGGGGTGGGGGCTTTAGAGAGTAAACAAATTAAAACCAGATCCTGGCCAATCATGACATGCCCTGAGCTGTCCTAGGGGTTGAAGGAGGAGCTGCCGTAAATCTGCATTTTACAGATGCACAGAGAGGTTGAGTGACTGGCCCACAGTCACACAGCTTGAACCCAGGCCAGTGGGTCCGGAGCCATGCCATGGGAGGAAGTCGTGGTTGAGGTCTTGCTGACCTCACCGTAAAGGGAGGAGAGATGGGGTGCTGGTGGCACCCTGCATCTGTTCTGGAGTGCTGCCTCCCTGGGCTGGGTGGGTGAACAGCCCCAGCCCCTGCTGGTCCTGGCCTGTGGCTGGGGGTCAGAGGTCAGGAAGGTGGTAAGGTAACAGGGTTGGAATCAATTACTGTAACTAGGTCAAGGAGTGTGGTCCTTGGCTGGTGGCTGGGAATGAGCTGGGGGGCGAACAGAGGAGCCCCAGTGGCTTCATCTGAGTCGGGTCCTGCAGACCAGCCCGTATGGGAGACACCTGCCCCTCTGGCCTTTGGGCTGAGACTGTGGGTGGCCTCTCACTCACTGTTGGGTGCAGTAGGCGCTGGCCCTGGTCCCGCTGTGGGGCGCACAGTAGGGCCAAACCCCTGTGCCTGAATGATGAGACCCTGCCTGGCTCCGCTGCCCCTGAGCATCGCACACGCCACCCCTGAGGGCCAGGGGTTCGTGGGCGTGACCCCAGGGACACAGGACATCCTGTCTGCTGGCTTCCCTGCCGTGCCGTGCCTCTGTTTACAGGAATAGAAAGTGAAACCAAGACTGCTGACCACGGCTTCCTTCCCCCTGGGGGGAGGCTGCGGGCAGGTGGGTGGGGCCTGCCAGAGGGAGGCCCCCAGATGAAGGTGTGGAAGGGGACTCTGCCAGTTCCAGACCCCCAGGCCTACGGGGACGGCGGATGTTGGGCTGGTCTCACAGTGAAGGGCTTCGAATGCTCATAGAGTCAGCATTTGCGGGGCAGGGGGTTAGGAGGCCTCCCCAGCCCCAGTCCCCACTGCTCCAGCCAGTGCCCTGAGGGCTCAGGTGTGGCTTCCAGGGGGGACCTTGAGAGCTGGAAGGTTATGGGGAGGGCGGTGTTCTGGGTAGTGCATTTCCTTTTTTTTTTATCCTCACCAGACGTCATTTTTGCATTCATCCTCAGACAAAGTGGGAGGGAGAGAGAGAGGAAAACATCCACGTGAGAGAGACACATCGTGTGGCTGCCACTCACACGACCCCAACTGGGGCCGGGGATGAACGGCAACCGAGGTACGTGCCCCCAGCAGGAACCAAACCCGGGTCTCGCTGGACTGCGGGCCGATGCTCCGACCGCTGAGCCGAACCGGCCAGGGCGATTTCCTTTTTGAAGTACATACATTTATCATGTATGTATTTATTTTGAGTTCTCACCCAAGGATATGTTTTGTTGTTGTTTATCCTCACCCGAGGATATTTTTCCATTGATTTTAGAGAGTGGGAGGGAGGGAGAGAGAGAGAGAGAGAAACATCGATGGGAGAGAGACACGTAGATTGGTTTGGTTGTCTCCCGCATGACCCAGACCAGGGCTGCGGGTTGAATCTGCAACCCAGGTACGTGCCCTTGACCAGGAATCGAACTCACAACCCTTCAGTCTGCAGGCTGATGCTCTAACTGCTGAGCCCAACCGGCCAGCCATCCCCCACCACACACACACACACACATGTTCTACGTTCTCTTGAGACCCCGTGGGAGGTCTGGGTGAGTGTGGCAGGTGCCGGCCCTGGGCAGCCCGGGCGCACAGCAGGAATCTCTTGGAATGCTCGCTGGTGTTCCCCAGACCTTTGACCCACGGGCATCTGCTGTAGGGGCAGGAAGCATATACTTCTACCTTCCAGGTTCCTGGCTGAGCTCATATTGAGCTGATTCGCAGAAGAAAACAGTGAGTGACAGAAGGCCTCCCGCCTACCTGGGGGAGGGCCAGGAAAGCCAAGGAATGCCCCCAAATGGCAGAAGGCACTCCCTTAAACACCGGCCTCAGAGGAAGACAAGAGGAGGTGTTGGGGGTGGGAGTCAGTCAGGGCAACCGAGAAAGTCCTCGTGCCGATCGAAGTGGTTGCCTTCTGCTTTGGGAAGAGCTCCGAGGGGTGAGGTCCCCTCCATCCTGGTGCTGTGAGGGGCACCCCGCACACATGGAGACTTCCTTCACAAAGGGAGACATCTCCCCAGAGGGCATCTGTTGTCATGTGTCCGCGAGATGAGACGCACAGCTGGGCACTTTATTTTCGCAGGTGGGCTGCGGGGGGCATGGTCTCCCCTCAGATCAGCAGCCCTGATTCTTCCTGTTCGTCCACTTTTCCATATTTTGTTCAGATAGAGCAGGAGAGAGAGAGAGAGAGAGAGAGAGAGAAACATCAATGTGAAAGGGACACATTGAGTGGCTGCCACCCGCACGACCAACCAGGGCCGGGGACAAAATGCAACTGAGGTACATGCCCTTAGCGGGAACCGAACCCGGGTCTCTCTAACTGCTGAGCCAAACCGGCCAGGGCTTTTTTTTTTTTTTTTAAATCCTTACCCGAGGACATTTTTTCGATATTTTGTTCGGATAGAGTGGGAGGGAGAGAGAGAGAGAGAAACATCATCGTCCGTCCACTTTTAAAGACAGAAGCCCTATTCCCTTTTGCCCCCCTCCCCCGTGGGTACAATAGTGGGTGTGACAGCGATTACAGACGTCAGAATTAGCATTGTTCACTGGGCTCACGATTTTCAGTTTCCTTTTCAGTTTCTGATACTGCAACTGCAAGATAACCCCCAACACATAGGGCAACTGTGACCGTAGGCAAAATTCCTTTACTTCTCGGGGTAACGACCCTATTATTGAAAATATGGAGGGAGGTCCACGGGTGATGAAAATGGAGTCGGTTAGTCACCTGGCCTCGGCCCAGGTCCTATGGACTCAGCTCTCCGAGCCTCCCCGTCTGCCTTTTCTTAAAACTCACCAGCTCAGGATCCTGTTCCAGAGGCTGAGCTTTGCTCCCCTTCACTGCCCTCGTAGAGCCTGAGAGCCACCCGAAGATGACGCCGGTCCCCGAGGGAGAGATGGAGAGCGGGCTGGAGCTGAAGGAGGAAGGTGGCCCCAAGGTGACGCCGGTCCCCGAGGGAGAGATGGAGAGTGGGCTGGAGTCAAAGGAGGAAGGTGGCCCCAAGGTGACGTCGGTCCCCGAGGGAGAGATGGAGAGTGGGCTGGAGCTGAAGGAGGAAGGTGGCCCCAAGGTGACGCCGGTCCCCGAGGGAGAGATGGAGAGTGGGCTGGAGCCAAAGGAGGAAGGTGGCCCCAAGGTGACGTCGATCCCCGAGGGAGAGATGGAGAGTGGGCTGGAGCTGAAGGAGGAAGGTGGCCCCTTCCCATCCCTGGACTCAGGTGATGAGCAGAAAGATCTGGACGAGCCCTCCTCCCAGACCTCCTGTAACAGCAAACAAGTGAGTGCTGGCCCCTGGCGGGTGGGCCTCCTGGTTCTGCCCGGATACTTCTTTTTGCTGTGGTTTCCTCAGCTGCTGACCATGGTTCCCCGGCCCCCACAGTGTCCTCTCTGGGACGTCATCACGGCACTGCCCCAGAACTGCCCCACAGCCCAGCGTGACGCCGGCATGCTGGGCGGCGGCGGAGTGGCTCTCCGTCCCGTGTGCTGGCCCCGTCTCTTGGTCTCTGGGTTCCTGTCCCTCTGGGCCTCCAGCTGCCTTTCCCTCCCACCAGACCCAGCACGTGCCTCCCAGCAGCCCTGACTGGGCGAGTGTGGGCGCCTGTGCTGCCCGCGGGTGTCTGCCCTCTCTGGTCCTCCTGCACTGCCGGCGCTGACCCTGACTGGGCGAGTGTGGGTGCCTGTGCCTGCCCGCGGGTGTCTGCCCTCTCTGGTCCTCCTGCACTGCCGGCGCTGACCCTGACTGGGCGAGTGTGGGTGCCTGTGCCTGCCCGCGGGTGTCTGCCCTCTCTGGTCCTCCTGCATGGCCGGCGCTGACCCTGACTGGGCGAGTGTGGGCACCTGTGCTGCCCGCGGGTGTCTGCCCTCTCTGGTCCTCCTGCATGGCCGGCGCTGACCCTGACTGGGCGAGTGTGGGCGCCTGTGCTGCCCGCGGGTGTCTGCCCTCTCTGGTCCTCCTGCATGGCCGGCGCTGACCCTGACTGGGCGAGTGTGAGCGCCTGTGCTGCCCGCGGGTGTCTGCCCTCTCTGGTCCTCCTGCATGGCCGGCGCTGACCCTGACTGGGCGAGTGTGGGCGCCTGTGCTGCCCGCGGGTGTCTGCCCTCTCTGGTCCTCTGCTATGGCCGGCGCTGACCCTGATCTGGGAGAGTAGTGTGAGCGCCTGTGCTGCCCGCGGTGTCTGCCCTCTCTGGTCCTCCTGCACGCCGGCGCTGACCCTGACTGGGCGAGTGTGGGTGCCTGTGCCTGCCCGCGGGTGTCTGCCCTCTCTGGTCCTCCTGCACTGCCGGCGCTGACCCTGACTGGGCGAGTGTGGGCACCTGTGCTGCCCGCGGGTTGTCCTGACCTCTCTGGTCCTACTGCATGGGTCCGGCGCCTGACCCTGAACTGTGCGAGTGTGGGGCGCCTCTGTGCTGTCCGCGGGTGTCTGCCCTCTCTGGTCCCTCCTGCATGGCCGGCGCCTGACCTGACTGGGCTGAGTAGTGAGCGCCTGTGCTGCCCGCGGGTTGATCTGCCCTCTTAGATCCTCCTGCATGGCCGAGCGCTGACCCTGACACTGGGCGAGTGTGGGCACCTGTGCTGCCCGCGGGTGTCTGCCCTCTCTGGTCCTCCTGCATGGCCGGCGCTGACCCTGACTGGGCGAGTGTGGGCACCTGTGCTGCCCGCGGGTGTCTGCCCTCTCTGGTCCTCCTGCACTGCCGGCGCTGACCCTGACTGGGCGAGTGTGGGCACCTGTGCTGCCCGCGGGTGTCTGCCCTCTCTGGTCCTCCTGCATGGCCGGCGCTGACCCTGACTGGGCGAGTGTGGGCGCCTGTGCTGCCCGCGGGTGTCTGCCCTCTCTGGTCCTCCTGCACTGCCGGCGCTGACCCTGACTGAGGGAGTGTGGGCGCCTGTGCTGCCCGCGGGTGTCTGCCCTCTCTGGTCCTCCTGCACTGCCGGCGCTGACCCTGACTGAGGGAGTGTGGGCGCCTGTGCTGCCCGCGGGTGTCTGCCCTCTCTGGTCCTCCTGCATTGCCGGTGCTGACCCTGCAGTGCCTGCAAGCTCGGGACAGGGTGGGTGCTGGGGAAATGTCTCTGGAGGCTGTTGTCGCCGACAAGGGTCAGACCTCGGGTGACTCCTGGGCCATGGGCCAGGCTGGAGCCCCAGGCCAGGCTTGCAGGGCAGTGACCTGGACAGGTTCAGGGACGATGGGGAGGGGCCTGTGCCGAAGCCCAGCCATCCAGGCAGGAGGGAGGTCCCTGCAGGAATCGGGGGACGCTGTCTCTCTGTCTGGGTTGGGCGGTTTCCTGTCTGGTCCTGTGTTCCTCGTAGTGGCTGGGCTGGGGTGGGACTGGCCGCAGGTGGCTGTGTTGGGTTACATTGTGTCTGTGGGTGTTGGGGGAGTGTATCAGGGATGTGTGTGCTTGTGTGAGTGTGTGTGTTTGTATGTGTGTGGTGTGTACATATGAGTAGAGGTGTGTAAGTGTGCTGTGTGTGAGTGGGTGTGCATTGGGATGTGTGTGTGTGTGTGTGTGTACATATGGGTGGAGGTGTGAGTGTGCTGTGTTGAGTGGGTGTGCGTTCGTTAGCGTGTGTGTGTGCTAGTGTGAGCGTTCTTCCCCTGCAGAGCAACCTGTTCTGTGCCCATGGCCAGCTCCGAGCCTGGGCCTTGTAGGACGTTGGAAGTTTGGGAAACTTGAAAGGAGAATCAGGACTAGGTGGGGGTTTTGGGGGTGAAAGGGTTAATTAAGTTCAAGGTTTTTATTTGGAGAAAAAATGGGCAGGAATAACCAAGAAAATAGTGAAAAAGAAAGGCCCTGAGTGAGTCTTGGCTGTGTACTCGATCAAGCAAAACCGTCCCAAAGCCACAGTCATGAAAACGCACCCTGGGGTGATGGGCACCTCAGCACAGACAACCGGAGTGGAATCAGGTGCATGTAAAACCAGCTGGAGAAAATACACATAAATTTCTGTCTGATCTCTGGATGGGGAAAGGTTTTCTAGTAATGAATGCAGAGGAAAAACACAAGCAAAAGATTAGTACGTTTGGCGCTGGCCAGTTTGGCTCAGCAGTCGGAGTGTTGAAGTGACACTGCGGACTGAAGTGTCACGGGTTCGATTCCTGGTCAAGGGCACGTACCTCGGTTGCAGTGTATCCCGGCCCTGGTTGACCCAGGGTTGTGTGGGTGGTGACCACTTGATGTGTCTCTCTCACTTCGATGTTTCTCTCTCCCCCCCTCCCCCGCTCTATCTGAAAATAGATGCAAAAATGTCCTCAGGTGAGGATAAAAACAAAAAGGTGAGGGCATTCTTGCGATCAAATCAGCTAGACTCTTTTTTTCTTTTTTAATTTTTTTTCCTTTATTGATTTTAGAGAAAGAGGAAATGAGAAGGAGAGAGAGATGGAAACATCGATGAGAGAGAACATCGACTGGCCGCCTCCTGCGCGCCCCTCACTGGGGACTGGGCCCACCACCAGGGCATGTGTCCTGACCGGGAATCAAACCACCGACCTCTTGGTGCAGGGTCAACGCTCAACTACTGAGCCACACTGGCCAGACTTTTTTTTAAAAAAACTCCTCTTTATTGTTGAATGTATTATAGATGTCCTTTCTTTTTATCCCCGTTGACCCCCTCCTCCCCAATTCCGACCCCTCCTGCCTTCCCCACACTATTATCGGTGTCCATTGATCACGCATATGTGCATAGAAGTTCTTTGGTTTATCTTAGCCCACCCTCCCGCCCCCCTTCCCTTGGAGGTTCATCAGTCTAATTCCCAATTTGTACTTCTAAATCAGATAGACTCTTTTTTTTTAATGTTTTTATTTTTATTTATTAATTTTAATTTTTTTTCCCTTTATTGATTTTTTAGAGAGAGAGGGAGAGAGAGACAGAAACATCGATGAGAGAGAACATTGACTGGCCGCCTCCCGCATGCCCCCCACCGGGGATCAGGCCCACAACCTGGGCATGTGCCCTGACCGGGAATCGAACCGGCGACCTCTTGGTGCAGGGTCGACGCTCAACTTTTTAAAATCGACAGTAGACCGCCAGCCGTGAAAATGGTCGAGAGGGGACTCCCAGGGCCTGACCCTCCTGAGAAGCATTAAAAAGCCAGAGCAAAACCAAGATAAACTTGTTTGGGGTTCCGAAGAATAGCCCCCGGCTTCCAGTGTCCAGTGAGAGGTGCTGCCGAGGCGGGGCTCTGGGCTGTCCAGCCTCCGAGCCTGTGGGGTCTGAAGGCGGCCGGCTGTGGGTCCTGGCTCGGAGGGAGCAGAGCAGACCGCCCCCGGTCCTGCTGGTCTGCCTTGGCTGCAGGGGCTCCCCGAGGCAGCGACAGGCACCCCTGCCTGCCTCCGCTTGGGGTTCCAAAAGTGGGCGGAGCAGAGACGGCAGGAAACACCGAGCGCAGGGCAGGAAGCTGCTGCCACCTGGGTGCCAGGTCCGCTGGGGGCAAATAGACGGCGGGAAGCTGGGCCGGAAGGCTCCCATGGACACCGGGCATCTAGAGAAAGCCGCAGGGACACCGGGCTGCCCCGGCCGCTTGGTGGGGGCGGGGTTTCCTTTCGGGGTGATGCAGTGTTAGGGGCCGTGTGACTTTCCACCTCAATACAAGAAAGCCATGGAGGGTGTTGTCACAGAGGACGTTTTTATTTCTTTATTTAAATTTTATTTTATTTTATTTTTTTATTCTCACCCGAGGACACTTTTCCATGTTTTGTTCAGATAGAGTGGGAGGGAGACAGAGAGAGAGAAACAGCGACATGAAAGGGACACATCGACCGGCTGCCACCCACATGACCAACCAGGGCCGGGGACAAACTGCAACCGAGGTACATGCCCTTAGCGGGAACCGAACCCGGGTCTCTCTGTACCGCAGGCCGACGCTCTAACCACTGAGCCAAACCGGCCAGGGCACAGAGGACATTTTTTAAAAGGCCTAAAAGTACACACGAAGGGCAGCCGAACGCAGCACACCGATGCCTGCTGGTGGGCTTGTCTCCGGGATGAGCTCTCGGGGCCTATGGTTGTCCCCAATCCCTGGAGTGACCCTACATGACCTTCCTGGTCAGGAAGTGTGTGACTTGTCGGGACTGTTGTGGCGCGACAGAGTCAAAGAAAGACCACTAGAAAGTAGAAGTCCAAATAAGAGCCGTTTATTAGCCGGGGCATCTGATTCCGAACACCCCTGTGGCAGAGCCTTCGGGGTCAGCCTCGATATGCTTTGTTACATGCCTTTTATGCCTCACAGAAAATAGGATCTTCTTGATACCATGCCCAGGGCTACAACAATGCTGTACAG